GAGGAGGAAAATGTTTTTAGCTAAAAATGATATTTTTGTGATAAAAAAACTTTTCCTCCTCAGTTGAGGAGGAGGATCCTCCTCGCTCTCCTCCTCCTCCTCATTTTCCTACTCACAATTCCTCCTCCTCAGAGGAACAATCCCTGCTCCTCAGAGCTTCCAACCCCTGACATCTGAGAATATTAATTACACACTTTTAAAGTTCTTCACCCAAATTATTTTTTTTTCTCCAAAGAAATATAAATTTTTAGCCTGAAAATTGTTTTTATGCAATAATAACATGATTATTAATTTTATTTTGTGTTGTGTGTGTTTCAAATCGCTGCTGTATACGAGCTGTATAATTACAAAAAACTACGATAATCACGAATATTTGTAATAAAACTGTGTTTATTTGATGTTTTTTTAAGTTCCCAGCCCCTAGGGTTTCAATAGCAGTTCGGATATCACTTTAGAAAATCTTAGAAGGTGCCTTGAGAGTTTCGCAAATGATATACTGACAAAAAATTTTTTTGTTTATAAATGATTAGATTTTGCTAGTTACACAGGATTCTAGTCTTGAAACATGTGGATAGGCTTCCCCTTACTCGTGAGTATTCCATAGAAAGGATTGGCTCAGGCCCCATGACTGTGATGCATGAAGCTGCTTTTGCCTCTAAATCTGCCAAATAATGGCATCTGATATTGCAATGTGCTTTGATCCAAACTACTCGGAGCGGGTTTGTCTCAACAATACTCTGGAGTGCTCTGTAGCAGACTATGACTAGGCCACTCCTCATCGAGAAGACCTGAAGTTCCTTTACGTCTCCGACTGTCAGTGAAGATGGCCACATTACCCACTCTGTGTTCCAGAATCTTACCGACTTATTATTTAATAATAATAATAACTGCATAGCAGGCATAACAATTGCTATCAATTCGTCCAGTGAAAAAGAGAAGATAGTACTGGATACTTGCTATGATCTGGGTCTTCACCAGATTAACAAGAACTACAATCAAAATGGTCGTATGCTTGATTTAATCTGCACAAATTATATTGATCTGTGCCAAATCCCTGTTGGGCTTAGATATGATCTCGTTGAGTATGTATTCATATTTGAACATGTAAGCTGTTCAATCTTCTTTAAATTGAATGTGTATATATTGATATATTATACAGTTTTTTAGTCCTTTTCTCGGATATGATTATGTTCAAAAATCTTGTTAAACTTAACAAACGAATTCAAAATATGTATTAGATACAGTGACGAACTTACACATTCACAAGAAGGCACTTCTTGCGATCGTAATGTATTCCATTGCTCAAGTTCTTGTACGAAATATTGTGTAATGTCGCTCTCAGTTTATTCATTATGTATACATTTTTCTTATTCACACAACGATTCGATTCATAATATAAGCTTTAGCTGTGCGCTTTGTCAATCTCTCTTCTTGTCTCCATCTCTCTCTTTCTTGATTTGTGTATTTATTGAAAACATGTGTGTTGCTGTATACAACGTTAATCGGCTTTCAGTTGCTCGCGATATTTTATTATATTCGGTCGGTGTTGCGCCTATACTTATAAGTTTACTTAAATGTAAACTGAGTAAAAAAAAAGCTGAACAGTACGAGTGAATATGAAATATCTTTAAATTTAAACTACCAGTTATCACCAACTTTCAAAGATATTTGGTCTTGCATTGTTTTAAAAAGAATAGTGGCAGGTGAAAAGTGTGAAAATATTGTGAATTTAAGCAAACAAATTCCAGTCAACATTTCGTAACTTTTAATTTCTTCATTAAACATGAACATTAATGTTCGATGTTATCAGCGATCTTATTTGTAACAAAAAACACAGACTTAAATTGTTTATGTAGTGTGTCACAAAAGATCTAATCCATTTTATGAACAAGTAGATCACAATTTCATTCAGTTAGAGTTTTTAACCGTGTAATGAATAATACACCTGGTGAATGGAATAGCATTGGCCTTGATCATCATCTCTCATTTTAGCATTTTATAACCCCAAATCTGATATACGGTACAATAAACATTTTTAGAAAAATGAGCACGGCGAATGTTCTTATTTACCTTAATGATGAAGAATGATGAAATGATCATCAAACATACGTTTTTATTTTTGTAAGAACTTCTGAGACACAATACGTTGAAATTGTTATATCAAAATATAAAAAAAATTGCATGAGTAAAAGTGATGACTGCACGTGCTGCATTAAATCTTAACACCTCGTAGTGAAATAAAAAAAATCACTTCGTATACTTTTTTACAAATTCTATGAGTTATTCTGTTGTGTTACTACATCCTTTTTATCAATAAAGAAAGAAGAGGATTAAATGTGGAATATTGGCTTCTGATGGTTTAATTTTTCTAAGTGAATCGCAGGGTAAGTAAAGAATCTATTAGGTGATTATAATAAAAATAAAAATATTATTATTAAGAAATTTTATAAAAATATGATTTTTGTGTTAAAATGTAAATACTTTCAACATATAAACGAATCCCAACTCAATCAAATAAAGAAAAAGTTCCAAGAAATTGAAATAAACTGCATTCGTTTTTGGGAATTGCTGTTGAGGCAGCAATCCGAGAAATAACTTGAAAAGAAGGCTTTTGAAACTATATGCGTGATTCTTTTTGAACAGCAAGATCGCCAGAACGCTAATATGGTGAATCTATGCAACATTTATATTTAAATGCTAATATATCATCTGATCTTTTCCGTTTTCCATAGGCTTTCTTACAGTTTTTGCATATATATACTTACGGGTTTTGTCATTCTAAATTCTATATTCACAAAATATAGATATGAAATTATTTAACGTAGATTAAGCGTCATAAGGTATTACCCGCTTTTATTTCAACCTAATGTTTTCTCCACACTCAAGACATCCAATATATAATATTTTTTTCAGAGAATGAAAATAAATAAGAGAAACATGAATTGCTTCTGATAAACCTCGCGTAGAGGCATACATGGACAACCAATGTAATAAAAATATTGTTTTGTAGCTTTGTATGTATTGTGTATGTTTTAAATGTTGAAGTCGTCGTTGCCCTAGAAAAACCTGTTTAACAACTTCAATTGTACATATTGCAATTCGATGCCAGTGTATTTGAATTTACTGATATTTCCAAGCCATGCAAAGGAGTGTGATCAATAGTTTTTCCAAAACATTGATGTTCAAAGAGAGTAGTACTAGTTTCGTTTTATTTGTTTAAATGATGTATTTCGGCTTTTAAAAAAATTAATTTGATAACCAGATTCAATCTAGGATTCAATAGGAAGAAAATCTTTTTGATTATAATTCCATCTCACACATCGCATGAATAAAAGTAAAATGGAAATAATTTACAGAAAACAATATGCCTGATAATATTATTCAAACGTTTTTTTTATTATTTTTTTCCTGCACCTTTTCACCCGAAGACTGAGCTAAAAAAGAACAGCAATTTTTTTTATGTTCTTGATAATACAATTGTACATTGTTAAAAAATACATACTTATTAATCCATATATTTTTTTAACTAAAATTTTCAATATCATTGTATTGTGTTTTGATTTGTTTTAAATAATTTTCTATTCATTGTTTAACCGTAGATAAATTAACTTCTAAATCAGCGATACAAACCGAAACCAAACCATTTTTTGGTTGCATAGCAGCAACGTTTTACACTTATACATTCAAAGCATCGTCATTCACGTATACATAGCGTGAATATATGTTCGCCAAAAAAACCATTTTTGTAACGTTCCGCTTGTTCCGTTTCGTTCAATACACAAATGAAACTAATAAGATGCATTCATCATTCAATGTACATCATTGCCGCAAACGCAACGCAAGCACTATCGATATGCGTTCGGATATGGTACCAGACGGCAGTTCGAGCGTGTGTGAAATATGCAATATAAGAAACAATCAATTTTAAAATTCACCAATGTTTTATGGCATATGACGTACATTGAATGATGCATGCAAAAAGAAAATCGTAAAGATTTGGAACGATATTCCCATGAATGAAATTCGTGCCGCGTGCGACTCGTTTTCAACACGTCTGAAGCTGGTAATCAAACAAAACGGTGCAAGAATCAAATCCAAAGGCTAAATCTAAAATCTTATGTTAAATCCTACTATTGGGTGTATAAATTAATTTTGATCGTTTTTTGGTGAAAGGAAACATTTATTAAAAAATAATAAGAATGAGTACATTAACCAATGTATTGCCCATCGTTAGCTATGACTTCCGCCCATCTTCTTGGTAGCTTGTCGATTCCGCGTCGGAAGAATTCCTCATCTTTTGAAGCTATCCAGTCATCGATCCATTTTCGCACTCCTTCAGGATTTCGAAACGATATCTCAGACAAGCCCATTTACATTGATCGAAACAAGTGAAAATCAGAAGGGGCAAGGTCTGGAGAGTACGGGGGGTGATCAAGCCGATCCCAACCGAACGCCTCTATCTTTTGTTTGACGATGTGTGCTCGATGTGGCTTAGCATTGTCGTCGTGAAACAAAACTCGATGGTGTTTTCTCGCAACCAACGGCCGTTTTTCGTTCAATGCATGCGCCAATTTGTTTAATTGTTGTCGGTAGCGATCAGCTGTAACCGTTTCGCCTTGTTTTAGCAGCTCATAATACACGATACCTTTCTGATCCCACCATATGCACAACATAACCTTCTGGCAATGAATATCTCGTTTTGGCTGCGAAGGTCCTGGTTGGCCTGGATCAACATACGCTCCTTTACGTTTTGGGTTATCATAATAGACCCACTTTTCATCGCAAGTAACAATTCGACTCAGAAAACAATGTTTTTTGTGCTCGGCAAGATGTTGTTTGCATGCTGTGATTCGTGCTCTCAATTGATTTTCATTCAGTTGATGTGGTACCCATTTTCCTAGCTTTCGAATTTTTCCCATTGCATGCAAGCGCATGGAAATGGTTGCTTGGGTCACATTTAACTCCAATGCAAGTTCTTTTTGCGTTCGGGCTGAGTTTTCGTCTAGTAATGCCAAAGCACGGCAGTGACAAAAAACGACCGAAGCGCTCGCATCGGTTGCCAGATGAACTATAGCAACCTCATTGGTTGCTGGTACAAAATTGTGCCATAATTGAGCACAAAGTTGTGCCATTATTCAATGCTGCGTTGCCCAACTGTCACTACTGCCATGCTTTGAGTAATGCTTGCAATTCCTCATCTTCAAACTTTTTTGGTTGACCTGGCCGTTCTTTGTCTTTCGAATCAAAATCACCACTATTAAATCGTTGAAACCATGTTCTGCAGTTTGGTTCTGATGGATCTTCTTTACGATAAATATTCCAAAGCGTTTGATGTGCTTCGGCGGCATTTTTCTTGGAATCAAATAAGAAAAGAAGGGCACTTCGAAAAAACATTTTATCGTGATCAATTTTGAATCAATACAAAAATAATTACACTGCGTGGAAAATAAACCTTTCTGCTCTGAATTAGATTGGCAAATGTCACATGTACAAGTTAAAGTGGCGACATCTAATTGTCAGCGATCAAAATTAATTTATACACCCAATAGAAAAAAAATATATATTTCATTTTATTCAAAAATGTGTTTTTTAGAGCCAAAAATACAACCCTCATTTATTCTGGCCCACCCTGCATATTATTCGATGGTTTTGGAATAATATTCATATGTTACGACAACATTCGCAGAGTATTCGCAAAATATTCGCAAAATACGGCTTAATATGTCAAGCAAATTACAATATGGCGGCACATCAATTGAATATATACTATGCATTGGATGTATTTTGCGAATATTTAGCGAATATTCGCAGTGAATATACGCAAAATATTCGCAATATTCACAGTGTTTTAATTGAGATAAAAACCCCTAGGGTCAGATTTGGTATCCGTAATCTTCACAATTTTTCTGCGCCCAGACAAATAAGATTCTATCCATTTTAACAGCTGTGTATGATATCTAGCTTTTTAATTAAAATGTTTCAAGTTAACCGAATGAAAAGCCTTTGCAATGTCCAAATAAATGGTATACGTCTGATGTCCCTTCCCCATGTTGATATCGATGTGAATTCAACAAAGTTAGTTGATTGAGATGGTTTGTAACGGTTGAGTCGAGTATTTTTGAAAGAAGAGCCTGACTAAAGAAGTCTTCCAAATCTGCGGTACAGTGTCCATTTCAAGTGACTCTCTCAACAGTGGTGTGATTGGTCCCTGTAATGAAATCAAACAATGCTTGAATTTGTTTGAAATTTCATCAGGACCACAGCAGAGCATCATGATTTGCTGCTGCTCAGCATATGACTGAGAGCTGAGTAATGCTGAACTCGTACGGCTAACGCATACGAAACGGATGCACGATACATATTCCCCTTTCGCTTCGTATGTGCTGCCGTTGACGCTATTGCTGCTGCTGTTTTCACTTACGCGTAAAATACAACGGCATCAACGGTAACACACTAAACCGGCGAACATACGAAGTGAAGGAGAATATATGAGAGACTGAGAGCAAAAAACAGCACGTCGCATCTCATCTCTTGCTTTCACTTCGTATGTTCGCTGGTATAATGTGGTACCGTTGATGCCGTTGTATTTTACGCGTAAGTGAAACAGCAGCGGCAATGGCGTCAACGGCAGCACATACGAAGCGAAAGGGGAATATGTATCGTGCATCCATTTCGTATGCGTTAGCCGTACGAGTTCAGCATTACTCAGCTCTCAGTCATATGCTGAGCAGCAGCAAATCATGATGCTCTGGACCACAGACTACCCATATGAAACTTCAACGCTATGCGTCACATTGACGTTTTTCGACGCTATTATGTTTAACAAACGCTGTGTATCTATTACAGTGCTGGCTCAGGGACATAGTGCCCGGACGGATTGGTTCACGCGAGAAGTTTTCGTGAAATGTGAGATTTTTTAGATTTTTGGTGAACATTTTCAGATTTTCGTAAAATGTGAGAGTTTTCACGAAATTTGAGATTTTTTCTGAATGTGAAAATTTTAAATCTCATCCGGTCGAGCCTATGGGAGAGAAATCAATGCTAGTTTTTATAGTTTTTAGCTTATTTACTAGTTTATTGCTTCAATAATCTAATAATGCTAGTATTCCTTTATGAAATTGCTGGTTTTCTAGTTTTTTGTTCTGTCAAATGACAATCAAATGATTGTACTGAATCAGTATCAATGAAGTATTTTGACGTTTAGTTGTTTAGATATATTTTCATGTGTTTTGAATAATTATACACTTATAATAGTAAAAATTAGTTTAATTATTCTTTTTTTAATACAAAATCGTGCATAAAATAGTTCTTTCTTTCAATAGTCGACTTGTAAAATTGATTTAGTTACCAAATCATGGCACAATATCAAAATGGCGGATCAAATAATTTTTTCTAATTTTTCTAGTTTCTACTTGAAATATAAAAAACTAGGTAATGGTTTCCGTCCCTTAGGGTCGAGTTGAAGGTTGGAAATTTTCGAAATTCACGAAAAATCTCAAAAATTTCAAATTTTATGAATCAGAGAAAGAAAAATAAACGAAGTCATATCGTGCTGAAAATTTGCCAGATGTCTTAGAATATACAGTGAATCTAATATTTTTGGTAGACAAAATTTTGCATGACACACTCCACTCACACGCCATTCGTATATGAATCCTATTTTAGTGGAGAGTTTCTCTGCTTACTTTGCTTGTTATTTTGTCTATCAAAAAAATTAGATTCACTGTAGATGTCCGGGTATTAATAAAATATGATATCTTAATAGTTACTACTGACGAATGCTTCATTAACTATTAAAACGAATCTTAATACGAGTATCAAAATGAGTAGCATGTATCAAGATCGATTATGATACGGCGTATCACAATGAGTATCAAGTATCATGATTCACGATACCGAAGTTAATACGCACCATTTGCAATTTTGCATGGATTTTTATTTTTAGTTGTGTGTGTATAGAATGTCTATTGTGAATATTCATACAAGAGTGAGATCTCACAGCACGAAAATAAGATTTACCAATCACGATTTGGGTGACAGAGATGACAAATTTTCACGTTCTGATCACACCAGATGATGTAGACCACTTAGTTGTGTTTGAGAATTTAGAAAAAAAGTATTTTTTCACTTTGAGTGCTCTATACCTCTATATCGCGAAAAATGAAAAAAATAATTAATTTTTTTTCTTCGATTTACAAATACTATTAAATTTTCTGGATCATCTGGTTAAATCAGAATGAAAAAAATCGCATTCTCCTCAGTTATTTCAATTCTTGATATCTCAGTACAAATATTACGTTTTTTTTTTCGATTTCAGTCGTGTCATATCGTAGACATTATTCTAATGTGCTATAAGCAAAGCCTTTTGCAAAAAAATCAGCGATTGCTATAACTTTTGTTTGATATAAATACATCTGATAAATTTAAAAATATATAATATTTACATACCAAATTATTTTTGAACAGAATGGAGCAAAAAAGAATAACGCCGGAGATGGAACGGCAACAACAACAAGAGAGGAAACGACAAGAGATTGAATGTGATGCCGAATTAGCTGTTACTAAACACTTTGAGGAATCTTTACGCCGTGCCAAAGAAAAGGTGTGTATGATAATTGTTTATTTTTTAAAGACAGCAGGTGATACAGAAAATAATTTCAAATTTTATGAATCAGAGAAAGAAAAATAATCGAAGTCATATCGCGCTGAAAATTTGCCAGATGTCTTAGAATATAGATGTCCGGGTATTAATAAAATATGATATCTTAATAGTTACTACTGACGAATGCCTCATCAACTATTAAAACGAATCTTTATACGAGTATCAACATGAGTAGCATGTATCAAGATCGATTATGATACGGCGTATCACAATGAGTATCAAGTATCATGATTCACGATACCGAAGTTAATACGCACCATTTGCAATTTTGCATGGATTTTTATTTTTAGTTGTGTGTGTATAGAATGTCTATTGTGAATATTCATACAAGAGTGAGATCTCACAGCATGAAAATAAGATTTACCAAGCACGATTTGGGTGACAGAGATGACAAATTTTCACCAGGTGATACAGAAAATTGAGTAGTATTTGTAAATCGATGAAAAAAAATTAATTATTTTTTTCATTTTGCGCGACTTTTTGATCATTTACGCGGGCGGCTTGTATGAAAAACACGGAAGACCGCTGAAATGACACTGTCGTATATCCGTACATATTTTGTATTGGTTATTTCCTCGACTTAATGGTTTATTTAGAATAATTTAAATAAATACAATAATTAGATTCTTGCATCAAGCAGTTTTGAAAGAGATAAATAATAATTATTAATTATTACAAAGTGATCATATCAGTGAATATCGTAAACGAATAATAGAACGTTCAGACGGTCAATTATGTGTTTCAATTAAACCTCCTACTGAGTTCGATAAGCGTGCGTTCGGTTTTGCATCAATTAATTTTTTCAATTCAATTCCAAATATTTATTTATTTATTTATTTATTTCACCGTCTGATCACAGACTGAATGTATAGCAATTATTTTACAATATCATTTGCAATGTAACACTACCCGATCGAATACCCAGTCGCCAGCCTTTTTGACTTCGGAGCGGCAGATATCGACTGTGTTCATTGTATATAAAATCTCAAACATATTTTTTATGCCCAATTGATGATTTATCGATTATTGAATATTAAATTGTCCAACTTAACAATACTGTTTCTAAAAATATGTCTTGATGCTGATGCCAAAAATTGTTCTTTTACCAAATTAAAATTTCTACAAGCTACATTAAATGGTTGATTATGTGCATAGTCTACATTAAACGCTCCAACCCTAATCAGTTCAGTATTTCTCAAAATTCTTTGGTTTTCATCATATTGCAATCTAGTATATACAATTTTATTTCTTAATGAGCTAGACACTATTTTACCCAAAAGGACATCATAAATAAAAAATATAGAGGCATTTATACGCCGTCTCCAGAGCGATTGAATATTTAAAACATCACACCTAAAGTGATACGGTGGTAATACAAAATTTTCATCTCTTTGGTAGATAAATCTTAATGTCCATATCACAAAATCTTTCTGAATTGACTCTATTCTATTGGAGTGTATACGGTGGTATGGTTGCCATACAACACTTGCGTATTCTAACTTTGATCTAACTAGTGCACAATATAACATTTTTGCAGACTCAATCGTGAACTTATTCTTCAATGTGCGTTTGATGAAACCCATTGCCCCATGTGCACTGGCTGTGATCGTATCTATGTGATTGACAAATGTCAGCTTCGTGTCAAATACAACGCCCAGGTCCTTATGTGTGTCGATCCTATCAAATGTATGTTGGCCGTTGTTAATCGAATAATCGTAGTTGACTATGTTTCCACTTTTCGAGTATGTCATAACGAAACATTTCTTCAGGTTTAAATGCAAACTATTTTCAGTACACCAGTCGCTCAATTGATCAATGGCATTCTGAAAAATGATGGCATCAATGGGCGATCGTATGGTACGGATTAATTTTAAATCATCTGCAAATAATAAAACAAGTGCATTTGACACAATTTCAACAATGTCGTTAATAAAAATAATAAAGAGACATGGTCCCAATATACTTCCCGCGGGCACTCCTGATGGTACAGTGAAGGTCCGCGACCTTCTATCACCGATTACAACAAACTGTGTTCGATTTGTCAAGTAGCCATGGAACCATTTAACAATTCTACGGCCAAGTCCAAAACACGCCAGCTTCTGCAGCAATCTCTTGTGGTTAACACGATCGAAGGCTTTTTCGAAGTCGGTGTACAGCACATCCGTTTGGCATTTTTTGATCATAGAATCGATCGTGAAATTCACCATCTGCAGCAAGTTCGTCGAAGTAGATCGATTTTTCACGAATCCATGTTGATTGTGGCAGATTTTTGAATTAACAAAAGCATCGATTTTGCCATACATAACAATTTCGAATATTTTGGCTATTGTTGGTATGATAACAATCGGACGATAATTCGATGCAATACTTTTCTTTCCAGATTTGTATACCGGCACAATTCTGGAATTTTTCAACGACTCCGGAACACATCCCTGATTCAGTGACTTACAGAATAGGGCAGTTAGTGGTTTCGACAATGTGTGCGCGCAATTCTTCAACAATTTCGGTGAAATACCATCAGGGCCGGCTCCTTTGTTCACGTTGACCGATTTCAGTGCCTTCAACACATCAATTTCATTGATCTCAATATCAAACGAAAAGTCGCCGCATTCACTCAGCACTTGGAAAATATACACGTAATGTCCAAATAATTTCCAAATTCTAACCTTGAAGGCCTTCAGCCGCGATATGGTTGGAAAGCCCTTGGGTCATAGATCAAGAAAAATATATCAAAGTTTGAAAATCGATCAACCTGTCTTCAAAATAACATCTGTTGCGTAAACATTGGCACAAATTGATACATTTATTCCAATGCAATAACAAAAATAAAAATGTAAACCAATGCACATAAGAGACCTAACGGGACTCCTACTCTTCTGTCAAACACAATTTGCACAAAAATTTCCATTCGCGGATTTACGAAAAAGTGTCTCAAATGATTTTGGACAGCTAAGTTTAAAACAAATTCTGCATGTGTCTAAAGATGAACCAATCTGTCTTCGAACCATGTCACGTGTTTCATGGACTTAGTATGAAGATGAGGCTTTTAGAAAAAGCAAAAAGTCCGGTCGTATTCCCAATTTACTTTCATCATTTTAGACGGTGAAACATTCATCGCTATTTCGAATCACGAATCAATTGCATTGATTATATTAGAGCACTACTATATAAGGCTAGAGACGTCGACAAACTGAACTTTGATAAAGTGGTGTTTGTATGGTTGGATCTTCTTTGGAAGGTGTTTTACAGCCATTTTTCGAAAATTTATTCCTGAAACGTAAGGTTAACCTCCATTACTTGCTCTATTATCAACCAAATATTGTTGAAATCGATAAAATTCGTTGTGAACTAGCTGAATAAAGACAAAATTATGCTTTGCAAGCAGAAAAAACCACAATAATGGCTCACTTCTTGAAAAATAGTATTTCCATGAAAAAATGACAATCTTTTTAACTTCAGAAAAAACACCAAATTACTTATTTCTCATCTGTTTTTGGATGTATGTTATGTTATAGGCGAAAGGTCCAAATACTTGAAACGAGCAACAATTGGTTGGATGGATTGAGAGAAAGTTGAAAGAAATCGACAAATCGGTTGCCCAGAACATAATTTTAATGGTTCGACACATACTGAGAAAAATCGAAGACAATGGTCCGTTCAGTGTAAAGTGAATGTGCTATTCGATAGCCTTAGGCTATTAGCCTATGAATAAAAGTTTATATCAATAAAAAATGAATTTTATATTGTGTATTTGTTTTTCAAATGGCGGACGTCTCATTTTGTGCCAATGTTTATGCAACAAATGTTATGGTACTTTCAAGAAAATGGTCAAATTTCACTTTTACGGCTATAGATGGCACTAAATGAGGTCGTTGATCCCTGAAACATCGATACTTTGATTCTAGAGCTCAATACGTCTAAATCGGTCAATCCATTCGAAAAATTAATTATTTTAAAAAAATCATATTGTATGAATCTCCATGAAATATCAAAATGTCTGTCTGTCTGTCAGTCCGTGATTTTGCGTAGTTGTTTCGGCATTTTTCAATGTGGCCGTGGCTAGCCTCCAAAAGTGACTTTTGTCCCTACGGTCACCGGGTTGCGTTCATGTGACACATTCCAATCAAAAATGGCCATATTCTGCATCCACCTACTGTAGCGTTCCTACTTTACATACCCAAAACATATGCATATCGTTGGAAGATTCACGAAGTAAGTTATCGAATGGTGCCAATTGCGACTTAAGAATTTCATGTGGCCAAATAGGTAAAAAATCAAAGAGTGATCGTCTGGCCGGACAGATAAGAAGAGTTTTTCTCGAAAACGGCTCTATAAATTCTTTTGAAAAGAAGCGATGAGATTACTGCCCAAAATGATAAAAAAATTAAATTCACGTATAGTTGGCGCTACATTCCATGTAATAAGCGTATACTTTCCACTTGGTCCGTTGCAACGGAAAACAAGTTTGCATAGAATGCAGCGCTAGCATATACTGTGAATTAAAACTTAATATACATTTGTACAATCATTTTCGTTTGTGTTCGTTCGCGTTCGTAACGAAAACGAACGAACACGAATCGATAAAAATGTTCACGAATGAATGCGAACGAATGCTTGACCTTTAATTTCATAGTGGACACGATTTCTTTGATTTTACAGTAACCATGTTTGAATTTTTTTCTTTCAAAATTGTTTACGAACATTCCAACTCCCTTAGCGAATCGAAAAAATATTTATACGAACGAATATCTTTTATATGAACGCGTTCGTGGTCATCTCTGATTATAGTGTTGGCTACAAACATCTATGAACATTCGTTCTTTCGTTTCTTCAATTATTAATATTAATTTAAAAAAAAATCAGATTAAATTCCACATTTTTAATACAAGTCAAAAAAAATTAATTACCTTTATTTCAGCAAATGCGAACTACATGGACAA